TCATGTCTGGACTGTGTGTGTACATGCCCTTAAAGGCTGAGAGGTGTGTGTTGTGGAGGCTTATGCTCAGGTTTGTCTGTTTTTGTGTAACCTAGACAGACTGACTGGTATTCAGGGCTAATAAAGACTGTTTCTGCAGGTTAATAACCAGCATTTCTGCAGGTCAACAGTCTCCTGGTTCATGAGTCCAGACCACTCAAGCACAGAATTAGCTCAGTTCATACCTATCACTGACCTGGAATAAGAAGAAAAGCTGCTTCTCTGAGTATTTCCCACCACACACACTCTTGACCTGACTGCAATTGGGTATTGTCCCTTTTCCTAAATTCGTCCTGTTTGGAAATGTCACTGCAGAGGAATAGAGATCCTCTGTTCTAGAGAACTCCGAGATGGGGTTAAGCAGTTGTCACCCAGGAAAATGAAGTTGGATTTTGAGCTCTCAAGCTTCAGATGCTGAACAGCTTGATTTAACAAATCCTGACCTTGGATGGTGTGAAAATCCTGAATGTCTGTTTTTCCCCTTTGTTGTCTGAGCACATGAAAGGTTTGAAAGCCCTCGCATTCTTCAGAGAAGGGTTATCTCATTAAGGGGTACTAAAGGAAGTGAGGAAGTTTTGGGTTCTTTTTTTTCCTTCTATTTTTTTTTTTTTTCCCAAGAGTGATCTCTGCTCAGCTGACTGGCCTGTTTCCAATCACCCTGCCTCCTCTTTCCTGGTAAAGACATCAGTCAGAGCTCATCCTGTCTCTGTGACAGCCCAACGCCTGCCTCATCTGCCACTGGTTTCCCTTTAGCCAGCTCCTTCCAGTATGAGGATTGCTAAACCTTGGCATAAAGGCAGAAATGTTCCTCTTTTTCATCTCTTGATGGAGAGGGACAAAGGCAGTGTTTGGAGAAGTGTAGGGGAATTTCATGTTTTAGCCTGATTGATTCCTACATCAGCACACTGGGGAACAGCTGCCCCAGATAATGATAGTTAATGACCCTGACAGCACCTCAGTGGCTACTTAGAGCAATGGATTCCGTATGTGTACAATGAGGGATAGATTTATCGGGAAGGACGATTTATCAAAAAGCCATGTGATGCAGGGAATAGAGAAAAGCTCTTGCTGCAGACTGTGGGATAAGGATGGATCCTGTACTGCTGAGATTTATCAAGCTGGCTTCTCCCATGTCCTCACATCACTGCTGTCCCCTCCTCCCAATGCAGGACTGTGAGTTAAACATGGGTTGGTCTTTTGTTGGTGCTTAGGGAGCTCAGATCCTAAGGAGTGGTCTTGGGTGGTGGTTTATGGTCTCCTGGACTTTTCCTGCCTGTTTGCCAATGGCCAGATGTGAACTCTTTGTCCTGATATAATCTGTGCCTTTTCTTGACTTTCCTTGAGTTGGCTTTAGCCATGGGTGCTGAGGGTGGTTCCTCTTGCAAAGCACTCTGAGCAGCAGAGCAACACTGGAGCTGCCAGCCTGCCCGTTTGTTTTGCTGGGAAAAACTTCCCACACGAACAGTGGCTGCTTCAGCTTAGACATGCCCCTTATCTTGGTGTGGATGGGAAGCTGACCCATGCTTTGCATCATGATTTGAGGAAATCAAGCCTCCTTGAGCTGGGAGGTCAGTACAGACTTTGCAGTGTTGTCTGCTGCACAGGACCCACTGCACACCCTTTTCCCCAGCCCAGTGGAAAGCACCTGGATTTCGGAGCAGCAGAGGCTGATGTAAAGCTGCACTGCCCCAGGTGTACTGGTGATTCAGATCATAGCGGCTGAGAGGATGGTTCTTGGCAGCCGGGAGAGCTAGCTGTGTGTGAAGGTCATTTCTGTTCGTGTTTGTAACAGTGTTAGCCTTGCCTTTGGAAGTTGCTTCCCCTCTTTCTCCTGATCTAAGTGATAATCAAATGTCACCAGCCTCTTCCAGAGCCTCGTGCTCACCGCCAGCAACACATCGGCTATCAAAGCCTACAGCGGTCTCTTTCCACACCTCACAGACAAGAACAATTTCATTCTGGCTCTGAGAAATAGTCTTAAACACTGGGATCTGAACTGGAAAATAAAAATGGAGATGTGGCAGGGATCAGCCCTTCACCTGGCTGTGTTTTTCCTTGCAGGGTAAGGGACTAGGCAGGACAGGCACCTTTGAAGCCTCTAAAGGGAGAAAGTTGAAGGAGGAGCTTGCAAGCCCGTGTGTTGTACTGCTAGAGAGCCCAGACAGATGGGCTCTCCTTGTCTGGGCCTGTTGATCATGGACAGCTCATCTGGAAACAAGGCTGGCATGGCGAGGCACTTCCCTGCCAGGACTGGTAGGAGCACAGAGGGTGGATTTGTGTCTCCAGGTGGAGTGGGGCTGGTGACAGAGAGGGCTTCCAGAGGCACTGAGCTGTTGGCAGTCTTCTGAAGAGTAACAGCTTACACACTTGGCTGCAAAACCAATTGCCTTTGTGTGGGTGAGTGCCAATGGTTAAATTCAGTGCAGCAGTTGGTGCTTGAACTGCTGGCCTTATCCATGCTTAGAGATCTCTGTTCTCCAGGAGCTGGCGAGTGTGTAAGGCTTTGCCTACACAAGCTCTGATCTCTTTCCCGACTGCAAAAGCCGCTCTGGCACCTAAATTGCCTTGGGAGACTGAGCACAGGCACCCTAAGGGGTGCAACAGGGACCCTGCCTGCTGTGCTCCCCTGGAGAAAGGGCTAGTCAGGAAAAATCACTTGGTTTAAGTCCTGGCAGTGGTGCTTATGGTGAAGCCTAGTTTTTAGTTATGAACCTTGTTTTGAGTTAGAACCTTGTTGGCTCACCCAGCTCTATTAAGAGCAGAGATGGGGCCAGGTAAGTGTGAATCATTCCCGTGGGGTGAGGAGGGTTCTTTCCCAGACTGTAATTTCTTCCTCCATCTCCCTTCCACTTCAGTCTTGTGAAAATGTAGAGCTGTTATTAGCCCAAGTCCTTTACCAGTTTTAGAGCCTGTTTCCAGGTCTTTTACAAGGTTCTGGGAGCAGGGAGTCTCTCACAGAAGCCTAAACCAACTAAGCCATCAACAAATTAGAGCTACTGGTACTT